CGATGTCCAGAGTAAGAACATGCATTAGTGGTGATAAACCAATCCTGCAACGCTACTCGTTTCAAAAAAGCTTTTTCAATTCTTTCGTCGAATCAGGCCTCTAAAATAATTGACTGGAAGATGATAATCAAAAAACAAATCAATTGAATTGAAGCTGTTACTACGAAGTAGTCGTGATGGATATAAGAATACCGACTTTCATCGTTTGTGCGATAATAAAGGTCCGACAGTAGTTTGCCATTCACGTAAAAGACGAGGAAAAGATCATTGGTGGTTATAATTCATTTGAATGGAATTCATTTAATAAATACTATTCTTTAAATAGTTTTTTATTTAATTTAATTCTGATGATATTCAAGTTACCAACGGAGTTCTGAGCAAATATATACAAGGATGGAGTGTAGGATGTTGTTTAGAGTATGGTCTAATTTTTGGAGATAGTTATGACCTAATTCTTCATGATAGCACCTCCGCAAATTACTGTCTTAAACACGCCTATGATCACGGTCTGTTGGATTCTGATAGAAAGTATTTAAAGTGGTGCCGCAATAAATTATCATAATAAAATTCATTTGGAAAGTATTTTTTTATAAAATATAATTTTGATTCTTTATATGATGCATAACATCTGAAGTCATCAAACGTTTATATTTTATAAAATAGATAAACTTCATTACTAAGTAAATACATGAACAAAATTTAATCCGTGAATATGCTCAGAAAAGGCCAATCCTATCATATTCACAGATTAAATTTGGTATTTACTTTTTAGTGAAGATATTTATACATTTTATAAACTACAAACGTTTGATGACTTGGATGTTATGCACCATACCATTCAATTAACAGTTTATTAGATCAAGATTTTGGACGAATTCTAAAACTACAATGTATACATTCAATTTTTATCTTCCAAAGTGTGTGTCTTTGCGTTCTTGTACAAGAATTAATGAATTAAAACAGAAAAGCCATACATTGCATCATGCTACTTTTACATAATTTATAATTGATGCTTGCATTCATTAAAAAATTTCTAATTTGTCACATTTCTTTATTACATGACTACCACTAGGACCAGACACTAAATGTACACGAAGTAAATTTACAAATATAGAATTCAATAAAAAGAAAGGGTAAAGACGTACAAGATTACATTATCAGTCAGTTACATGATAAATTGCTACCTCGTAAAAATCATGTGAAATGGCACACTTCTTATATCATTGAAAATGGAAAATGAAAGTTATAATGCTTTTAATTTATCAAAAAAAACTGTAAAATAATCATATCATATAGATGATGTACTATAAAAAGAAATACTCATATAAAAAGACGAATTCAATGTCTTCAGATCTTGAGACTTTGATAAAAAAATAAATAAGTTTGTTTTTATTTAATAGAACATAATTAGAAGAATCATTAAAAGTATCAGTTTGAAAAGGTACAAAAGTTGATTGAGATTAATGTAATGTATCTGGCTTTATTAATAAATTGAAATTGTAATTATTTAATTTAAATTTACCAGAAACTTGTATCTCAAAACTAGCGTTTATATTTTATACTCTTTTAAACCTAATAATTTAATCATTATTATTGCCTCATATACAGAGTGTCCAAAATATTGTGGATGTTTTAAAATTAAATATAAATTTATATAGTATATAAGAGTTTTAAATTCTTAAGTTATTTGTAATTTAAAAGAACCAAAAAATAAAAATCAATGCAATGGTTCTTAAGAAATGTTTGCTTTATAAAATTAGATTTTTTGATCAAACCGAATTTATTTAAATAAATTTTATAAAATATTTATACCTTATATAGTGCAGGAACTCTTAAATTGACAATATGTTTCATCTTATAATTCTATTAACTAGGAAGTAAATCCAAAATTTAACCGTAATATATCAAGAAAGTCCTTTTCTATAATATTACTGGTTAAATTTTGGATTTACTTCTTAGTTAATAGAATTTATGAGATGAAACATATTGTCGATTTAAGAGTTCCTGCACTATATAAGGTATAAATATTTTATAATATTTACAATTTTGAAATTATAATCCTTCTGTTATATCAATAGTAAATTTATACTATTAAAAAAAAGCATTTCTGACCCAATAAAATATAATTTTATAAAATAAACTTTCCTTAGAAGCTACCGCATGTATTTTTGTGTTTTTTGGTTCCTTTAAATCACAAAGTTCTCAAGCATTCAAATTATTATATTATATAAGTCTTTAAATATATAAATCGCTATTTAATTCTAAAATGTGTCCACAATATTTGGACACCCTCTGTACTTATTTTCTTCTGCATTACCCTGACAAGTATATTGGGTCATAATGTAAGAATTTATTGATAAAACGTAGTAAATGCAGGGTTTTCTCTATAATAAAATTGAAAATTTTATTAATAAATATTTTTTATTTTTATATTAAATAAAGATAAGAATATCTATTTTTTCAGATTTAATTTGAAAAAATTTTTTAATTGCAAAGTTATTTAAAAAAGCCTTTATAATTAAATTTACATTCATTTTTTGGTCAACCTTGCACTTTGAAAATAGATATTCTCATCTTTATTTTATTAGAAAAGAAAAAATTGTTATTAATAAAAATGTAAAGTTTAATATAGAGAGAAAAATCCGTATTTTACTGATAAATTTACATCTTGACCCAATACTTTTATCAGGTTGGTGTATCAATATTCTTTATAAATTATTAAAATACTAAAACATTTTATAAATATCAATATTATATACAGCCTATTCCTGCTCTCAAGTTAAGAATTGCTAGAAGATTCGCATTAATGTTGGCTAAAGGTGGAATTGTTTATTCATAATCAGGTATTAATAAATTCATTATTTACAACGACATAATATTCATTGTAACCTATTTTTTTTTACAGAAGATTGTAATCCTCAAACGAAATAAACCTAATTCAAATAAAATATTCCAATAATTTTATTTAGAAGAAAACAGCAAAGATGAAGTTTATGTATTCATCAACTTTAAAATGTTCAACAAGAGCGTTCCGAATGGTTCGGTTCGGATTTGTGAGTGATTCGAAACTAAACCGAACAGAATTTTTATTTTGGTTTACCGTCCGAAGATTTTGACACAATAGATTTTTTATATACTTAAATTTTATTTTGACTTCTATATCTAATATATATACAATATAAAAAGTATATTTGATCAGCAGAATAGGTTATATCATTTCGTATTGGTTTCGGATTGATCCGAACTATTCGGCTGACAGCGCCCTGAAAAATTGAAGTTCTAAAATTCACTCTGAGACAGAATACGAAAACTCTGATGACAAATTCTGAAGACGAAAACAAAAAAGAAGTGTTCGCCACCTTTCTCGAACACTATAATATCGAAGTATATTGGAACAATTTATTAGTGGTCCATTATCGAGTTCACATAATAAATTAAGTCGAACATCACGCTTTAATTAATAGAAATTATAATGCAAATGACCTTTGTAATTTTTTTTTAATGGTGATGGCGTCATTGATGTTTTGATATGGTATTTTTTATAGATTTTGTACGATTCTGTAATGTTTTTTTCTAATACATGTACATTAAAATACATGTAATAAAAAAATCATAAATATGAAAATTAGACAATTTTTCAATGTGTATTCAGCGGTCACTATCTAAAAAGAGGATTACACATAGGAAAACTTCTTTCAACACTGCAACTAGATAATTAACCTCTTCCTAAAAAAGGCTGAAGTGAAAAACATATATTTTTGTACATTGCTAGTCTAAACCATATTTGTAGTGTTTGAGGGTCATGATATATCGATATATCGATATATTCCAATCTGGTTAATTTTTGATGAATATAAAATTAAGTTTATCAATTTACCTTGCGATTACGCAAAATTTACTATGTCAATGAGCTTTAATCTATTAAGAAAAAGTTTCCAGCTTAGAATTTTACATTAGAAATTATATACATGTATATTAATTAGTAAAGTAAAAACAGAAAGCATAAAATTAAATAAATAATATGAGAGACAATGGTTTTAGCCTTACTCGAAGGCATTTCAAGTGCAAAATTTTTTCAATAGTTATTTATTAAAAAGATTCTTTTTTTAAAAAAACTCACCACCATTACTTTCGTCGGAGACCGTATTGGATAAAATTGGTAGTTGTACGCTTGAGCTTTGTCGATAACTTTTCAATTTATCCTGAAAATAACCGATTCTGTTGATTGTCGACTTCTATGAATTTTGTGGTGTTGTAAATTCATAATATCGGTGACCTGCATAAGGATGGCATGTTTTTGAGAATAGTTTAGTAAGAATTATATTACATGTATATGCTTTGGTGGGTGGATCTTTGTTCTTTCGAATAATATGAAATATTGCCAAATATGAATATAACTCGTAAAATCTTGAGGCTTGTTTCAATATAAAATCAAAGTTTAATCACATCAAAAAAATCAAAAATGCACTTACATGACTGTTTGCTTGATGCGTACGATTACTTGCATTTGATCAACTACAAAGATGACAGTTCTAAGCTAATCAAGTACGTACATGTATTCATTAACAATACTATTCTATTAATCTTATTATTATTCGAATCACTCATTCAACGTAATAGATGTAAATAGGCAGTGATTGATTGTTTAAAGATTTTCGAATAGTTGAAAAAATTGATGAGTTAGAAACCAGATTTACAACAATGCAAGAAATGGTTTAAAAGCAAAAAAGTATAAAAGCCAGAGTAAAATTAGATGGCAAACAAATGTCAAGTTAAAAAGAAATCCAAAGCAGAAAAATTTATCCGTTATATCTTCAAAAATAAACACATTTTCTCAAACGGCAGCAGAATCAATTTTTAAAAATGAGACCTGAACAAAACTACGAAATCTACACAGAGTCCGAATATGAATACGAAGTATCTGATGATGACTACATGGAAGGTGATTCTCTCTTTGACAGTTGCAGCGAAGTCGGCGACGATGACTACGACCCAGAAGTCGAACAAAAAGCTTACGAAGAAGAAATATACCAAGAATTCTGTAATGACTTTACGAAAGAAAACACATCGCCTGAAGTTTTCCAAACTTTACGAGAACGGATTAATCCGATCCTCGATCTCAAAAATCAAGTACGGATTCTAACATATAGGATTGACAACAACGAGCGATACACCACAAGCCAACTTTTAGAACAAGAATCAAAGATGCATCGTAGTTTTGAGGCCGCGTTTCCCGGTGATATTGATGATCACCCAGATAAAGAGTGGAGAGTATTTCGTAATTATTTGGATGATGTGAGATTGGCAGTCGAGGATTTGTGTTCGTTGTTGAATTATGGTCAGTTGTGTTGGCATTCGCATTGGCCTCATTTTACTCCATTGAAACAGGATGACGAAGAGTGAAAATAAAAATAAATTTTCAATCCTTTATCTCACAAAAATGATTTGTGATATAGAAATATTGCACGCAGGTCGTTTTTATTCTCTATAACCTTATCGTTATCATAATAGATATATTACTTTTTTATTCATGTTTTCGCGTACACATTGATCAAACTTTTTTCTTCTTTATAATCGAACAATTTTGTACGATTAATAAGCTTTCTCTTTTTTTATGTCATCAATTTACATGCTTTCTGCAAAATCAAATTTAAGGTTTATTTATGAATTCTTGCATATAGAAACCTATTAAATTATGGCAACAACAATAATAATAATAATATCTAAGCTTTTGTTTTTTCCTTCAAATTTTTTATCATCAAAGTCCGCAAAAATAATATATACTTCGTTCTTTATTCTAAATAATCGTTTGCGGAAATTTTTAACTTATTAAATTTCAAGCAATTAAAAATTCAGATAATAAAGAGTCTTGATACAGTTCGGAACATATAAATCTATCGAAAAATATATCTATATACGATATAACGATGATAAATGCATCAATCTTATGCGTATTTGCTTTTATCACGTGTATCTCCTCTTTAGATATCTTTAAATACACAAGTTCGAATCATATTCATAACCCATTTGATAAATAACTAATTCAATACAATAAAGGATAAAAATCTGCTTATATTTTTGCGCAAATGACTCGTTACTACCTACTTCTATTTATCACCTTTATCTCTATTCTCTTTCTCGCGTTCATAAAAGCCACTCCAGAACTAGGCCAAGAACCCGCAATTTCCGCCAACCATGTAACAATTTCCACAAAATCGACAGTATTGGAGATCCCTCTTCATCAGATTGAATCGCTTTCTTCGGTCTTGACTACAAAATTTATCGAAATGCTTGGTAAATTAGGTAAAGATATTGGTTCTGATGATAAATTAAAGAAAGATTTATTTGGATCGAAGGGACTTCAACATGGTGAAATTATAACATTCGGTTAGTTTTTTGTTATATTAAATAAATTCGTGGTCCCTTTATTTTAAAAGCAATAACATCTATTGTCGTTCTTAGAAATTGCTGTGATCCCATCTCGCAGTAAATATTCAATCACTTGCGAACGCTTAGCTGACAAGACATGGGGACATTATTATCGCGTTGTCGTTGATCCATACAATGAACAAGAAGACGTCTGGGAATACAGTAAGTGTAATTAATTATTGATTTTGGATTTTTCATAAGAAATGTACTATTCAATTACATGTAGGATTCGTCGTTCCACACATCGGTAAAATCGACGTGGATTTACAAGACGATGAAAAAGAAGAAAAGGGAGATGCCGACAACCTCATGCACATCTTCGAAAATATCTTCCGCAGTAACAATCAAATTCACCATAAATTCCACAAAATCGATTCCAATGACGACAACTTTGACGCGAATCATCACCGCCATTTCGAATACGATATTGAATTCCTCCATACCAAGGATCGAGCAAGGTTTATTGTAGATAGCAAGGGTAAAAACCGTTATGGTCGTGTCTTTACGTTGATTACACGTTCTCTTACAATTGATGCTGAATATGAGGTTACTATTGTGGTTCCTTATGAGGAATATCGTGATTAGATGTCTCATAGATTTACTACATGTAGTTACGTATCGATATCGTTGAAATTTTAATTTATTAATAGATGTAAGCTAAAAAAGCTTTATTGCCATTCTTCATAACGATAATGCTTATTGATCTATGGAAGAATGGTTAGCATAAATTGTAATTTAAATATCTTAGTTTTCTAATTTACTATCAAATAGACAATCAGTGCATCATCAACTCAATTTCATAACTCTAGTTATTTTGGTTTTTGTATTGGAATTATAAACTTTTATAACTCCAGTTGGCGCAGTTTTGAATCCCAGTTGTTCCAGTTGCTAACACAAAAATAACATAAATACATTTATTAACAATTAACAAGAAAAGAATTATAGTTACAAATTAGGGATGAGGGGATTTTTAATAAACAAGAAAAATTAACCACACTAAAAAATCTACATTATTTAAATATTAAAAGAAGTTTAAACGAAAACACCACCATTAACCTAACAATAATGCAAATGCAAATGCCAAGTTACTCTCAATAAACCAGCTATCTCGATAAACCGGTTATAAAGAAATCCACCAACTCGAATAAAATGTCCAATTTATCAAGAGTGACTTTGCACTAAAATAAATTAACTTAGTCATAATAATGCTGTTTTGGTCGTAACTTTTTCGCCACGTCCGTCAAGAATGAAATGTTCAATTTTTTTTTCTTCTGCCGTAACTTTTCTAATGCTACCCCAGTTTTCACACACAACCCAAACGTTCCAGAAAACGCAGCCAATTCCTTTGTTGCACACATATTCAACTCCTGGATCATGTATCCATGTTGGCCAATCAAGTCTCCTTGCAATTCACGAAACTCTTGTTTTAGTTTTTTGTAGTTGTTGCCTTCATCAGCCTGCACACGAAGCAACAAATTATTAAACTGTGTCTCGCTACGACGTAAATCACCGATGCTTTCTAATTGCCATCGTGATAATTCGCTATTTCTGGCGAATAATAGGTTGTGTTGACGTAGTTGTGCGGCAGTTGCAGCATCTTCGTCAGTCTCATTACTGATTGTGCGTGATTTACGCCAGATTGCTGATGGACTCGTGAAAGTACTCTCGGCAATCGAACTGTCTGTACTCCCTGATTGAAATCGATATGTGTTGGACGGTCCTGCATGAACCTCATTGTCTGTTGATGATGGATCATTATTTTCAGGCATTGAATCTCTGTGTGTGGTTGAGTACTGCTGCTGAGAAAAATGTGAAGTGAACGGCCGGCGCTCAAGCTCATTTTCTACCTTTAACTCTATCTCGTCGTAGATTTTATCCGCTAATCCTAACTGAACAGGTGTCCCTAAACTAGATAAAGTTAAGATCCCAACTCCTGCACCGTAATCATTATCGTTATTATACTGATTAGACATTTGAAATTTTGATGTTGTTTTGTTGTTGTATTATTATATTTGCTATTAAAAAAAATAAGAATTCGGACGCGCGTTGTCCTTCGTTTTTGCTAAATACCAAACGCTCAAAAAAAATTTATTTAAATAAAAATTAAAAATAGTTTTTTCCAATTTATAAATAAATATTATTATTTAGATAGTGTTTATTATTTACAAATGTCTAGAAAAAAATCAATTATTTAAATAGTAATTATAATATATTTACTTATCGTTATAGGTGTTTGCTATTTCGTAGAAGAAAAAATAATCAATGATCGAAAGACTCATTTCTAGGTAAATACAACAAAGACAACAACAAAGACAACCGCACCAGCAAAGCACGAAAGAGAAATAGAGATAGGCAGACGAACCAAGAAACGAACGAAAGAAAAAAAAATTAAAGGAGAAATTATCAGGGGAGCGCGAGAAAAGAGTGATGGGGGAAAAAAAAAGAAAGGAAAAAGGCTGATTAAAAGATTTTTTTTGCGCTAGACATCCATTTTATTGAGAATTACTTGTTAGGTATTCAGCATATAGAGTTATTGAAAATTAAAAATAATTATTGTGTATTTGTATTTGTATTTGTATTTTTTATTTTGTTGTCGTAATTTTGTTGTTTGATTTTTGAAACCTAGTGAAAATTCAATACAATACGTACTAATATATATGCGGCAATAGTATCAAACAGTTCACCTCTGATGTCGATATATCAGGAATTACACATATGGACGGAGAGAATACAACTTCATTATTTAGCGACACCATCGCTCGTTTTGGTTATCTCTTTACACCATATGGTAATGCAAATGTCCATAAAAGGATGATAGCAATGGAAGAAAAAAGTTACGTATATATAGATAATTTTTAAGAGGATTTAGATTGTTTGCATATTTAGAAGTGTAGCACAAAGGTGTAAGTAGTACATGACTCCTATTTTGTTTAAAGTAGGTAAAGAAGCTGTGATGAACATTATATATAACATGAGTACAAACATGCAATCGTAAATGAGGTACATACTGCTTACAGTGCAATCGTACTAAGAAGCTGTTGCCGTTGTTGTTGTTTTGTGTTAGGAGTTCTCTTCGATCGCTCATCGTCTGTGATTATTTAAAAACGAGAGATTATTATCATTGTTGTGATACTGCAAGAAATTAACTACTATTGTCATAGTGATAATTGCTACAACATACGTACATGTACCTGTTCAAAAAAATAATACATGTAATTACATACACAATGAAATATGATGACGATGGCGCCAATCAATTATTAACGTTAATGAAATTTTGTTGTCAAATTAATATCCGACTACATGTATTTATAAATTCAATTTGTCTTTGTCTTTATTGAGAATCGGAATATAGTAAATACTATACCGGAAAATTCTTTTCGAATCTCGGTTAATTTTTGGTGCCTCCATTCATGCCCAGAAATATTGATTCTTATTCTCGTTCTTTAGCGATACAGTTTCAGAACAAAAGTGATAACGATAATGATAATGATATCCCTAGTAATATCCATAATAAGAAAAAAGGTGATAAAAAACCAATAATAAAAAGTGATAAGAAAATATTATCTTTTTTGCAGTGGTTGAAAAATTGAAAACTCTTAATAATAATCATCATCATCATATTATTATTATTATTGTTATTATTATTATTATTATTATTATTATTATTATTATTATTATTATTATTATTATTATTAGTCTATTTTTAACTTCAAACGGTTGATAAGTAACGGTAACAAAACATATCGATATTTATCGTTATTCGTTATTAAAATGATACATTCAGGGTGAGTACGTAGTACCAAGTGATAATAGTGATGCACGTTTTCTTTTTTGTCGACAATGACTTGTATTAAAGCTACAGTTTTTGTCGCACTTGCGTGACTATTTATAATCCAAGTCACGTGTTGTTTTCGGAAAGATGAAAAGTATATATCTTTTTTATTCGATCACGGAATGATTGCTGCGTAAAAGTGAGAAATAGGATATTCGTACACCTAAACATACATTATTTTATATAGACCTGTGAAGTATTATCACGTATATGCATATTCAAAATAATATAATAGATTTTAATATAAAATATAAGTATTCGAATATAAAAAATTTGAACAATAGTTATTATTTTTCTTCGCGAACTGGTAATTTCTTAAAGAGTCACCAATAACCAAGATAATAAATCCTGTTTCTTTGGCTAATATTGTGATATGGGTCATATACTTTTTCGTCTTTTTGTTGCCGTATGTGTGTCGCAGCAGCAAGAAAACTACTTTAATAACGCAAAAGAAGTAAAAAAGTCATTGTTCTCAGAATCAAAGTTGCTATGATTGAATCAGTTTTTTGGGTTAATTTTTTTCCCACTGAAAAAAGATCGTAGATGCAGCGAAATCATGAGCGAATTACATCATTATGTGTAATGAATCTTCATATTCCTCTTTTTATGAGATAAGGCTCGTGGGATCTGTATTTTTCGCGTATGCTGATAAAGTAGATATATTTGTACATAGACAGGTATGCAGCTTTTTGGTGCTCATATTTTAATTATTGCACCGTGTAGGAGCACTGCTAGTTTTGAATAGGGCGCAAGATTATTTTCTAGTAGAACTGTTCTTTTACACGTCCAAATCGAATCTTGGCGTTGAATTTTTTTTATCTACGCCATCATCAGTATCAATTCGTTATTGTGATGTTATTTTGCTTCACTTTTGCTTTGTCAGCAAGCCAGATAAGCTTCGTGAAAGAATTGATATTGTTTCGATCGCATAGATATGTCATTTGTTTGGTTCGCAAGTACATTAGAAAAATAGTGAATGCCATTTTTTTGTTTGATTCAAGTTGTTTAGATTCATTAAGATGTATAGTTCTTTCTGTCTTAGTATTATTGCAACAAGATAAGCAGGTTTTTAAGGAGAACAAAGTAGTGAAGTGAATAAAGTTTATAGAGTTTGTAAATGATATAGCAAATTGAGGGCATTAAAGATTCTGTGTAGAAATTCTAATTTCTCTTTTTGTGTTGTCTTCGCGCGTAAATAGATGATCTAAAATGAATAACGATAATGTATCTTTTTATTTATGATAAAGTAAATGAATAATGTATCTTTATATTTATGGTAAAGTAAGCCCATACTAAAACATTATTAATAAGCTAATTTTGATTGTCACTTCATTACACGAACTTTGTTCTATGTGGCATAGTTTTTCTTAAGATCAATCTTTCAAAATAGCTGATAAATGTCAAAGAATCCTTTCTTAATTATTTGGGCCGATTCGTTGACTTTTAAGAAGATAAAGATAGAGGATACTTCGCATTCACTGGTTATGATATCAAATTTATATCTTTAAGGTGGGTTATTAGCGTTAAATAACATTTGTATACATGTATCATATAAATTACTGGAAGAATAAATTTATGCAATTTGTTGATCAGATCTATATTTTAGCATTTATCAAATCAAAATTACAAAATGATAATTGATTCTGTCTAAATTTTCCGGCGCGAAAAGGACTTTGCCAATACAAGTCGCTCTCGTTATAGTGAACTCTCGGTATAGTAAAGACTAATTAAACTCTTGATATAGTGATTTTAAAATAGTCTATGATAAATCCTATCATATAGTGATTTTATCGATATAGTGATTTTTTAAAAAATTTTTTCCAATAGCCTAGATGCATTCACTATAACAAGAGTGGTTGTATACATACACGTATAACTCACTAGTTTAAAAGCCAAAAACAATTGTGTATCATTTATACATGTAAAAAATGAAACACCTGCGGTTTTATCCATTCACATTGTGTCTTAGATAAATAATGAAACTTGTCTTGCTTTCCGAGAATTGTTTTTTATTAAAGAACACTACAAATATACATTAATTTGTTTATTAGAAGTATAAAATCCGAGAATTGTTTTTATTAAAGAACACTATAAATATAAAATCCTAATGAATTTTTGCTTTTGCTTAATTTAATTTATAAATAAACTTGATAATACAATTACAATGAATGATAATTACATTGTTTTTACATTAGAAATAAAAAAGGGTTAAATTTATCCGATTTAACAACCAATTAACAATATCAACACCAATGAGTACGAAAACAGTAAGGTTATTAATATCATAGTCAACGAAGAAAAAATTGCCATCATCTGTATGCTTATATGCAGGGTAGAAGTATGGAAGATGTGAAAATTTTCTAAAGCAAATATTCAAACATTGTTTAATAACAATAATACTATTCAAGCTTACTAATATTACTTATAAAGTAATCATGACAATAGCAGTCATAACAATAAAATTCTTTACTGACACAAATCTTCGGTACCCCACTCAATTAAAAGAGTGAAAAGACTCGATTCAAATCTGAAACTCCGAAAAACAACAATAACAATGACAATTATTTGTGCATATTTCTAAAAATCGGGATAACTTCTCCTGCAAGTAAATATTTATCCGAAAACTAATTCAACAAAGAAAAATATTTACCAATTTAATCTCTACGACACCGCGGTACCACTACTATTATTCACAATGCGTGTTCATACAATCAACGAACGCCATAAAAGCCTGTTAATTATGAATGCGTATCACAGAAGACAAAGGAAAAAACCTCTGCAATATTTACGTGAACTCCAAAAATTACCTTCAAATCTGTTTAAAATAGTTACATGATACGCGATTTCACCAGTATATTGGAAATGTCTTGGATTGTATAAAAACTGGAGATGTGTTAGAGAAATTAGCAGTCAAGCATAAATAAAAAATATTTTTTTACACGGGTTTGGTGCCGAACTTTATCGTTACGTATATAGAAAGAACAGCTCTGGCTGCGCCTCGTTATTTTAAGAGATTCGTGATGGAAGCTAAATGCTATATTGAAAGGTCATTACATTGAATTAATATAACAGTAATTAAGTAGAACTCTTCTTTAAAACGAAACAGCACAAAACTTGGTGTTTAAAGTAATCTTTCTT